CAACGAAATCGTATCTGTACGTACTGAGGCTCTCAAATGTCTGACTTAAACCTGGAAACCAGCCAACCGCGCGCCACGGTACATTCTCACCCCAAATTTTCTAAGAGGAAGAAATTACTCCGTGTCTGCAACCGCGAGGCTAGAAAATAGAGTGCGGTGCAACGTCACGACTTCGCCACCCTACATTGGGGGTTTGCTATGCAAGAGACTTCTTCAAAAGCATAAATCTCAAGCACTGTACAAATCCTAATCCAGCCCATGTACTGAAGGAGCGATAGGTATCCGCACGGCAAGTTTACTTTAACTTTGCGTCCTGTACGGTAGATTAGTGTAGGAACGATAAGTGGTGTACCTATTCCGGAACTTAGTGCCTGATTAATGGTATGATAAATGATACAAACTACCTAAGGTAGGTATGGAGGACCGAAGTAGACGTGGAGTTCGTTCCTACCTGCTAACGTTACCTGTTAGCCTGTTGGCGAGTATGTGTGTGTGTGTGTGTGTGTGTGTGAGAGGAGAGAGCGAAGGAAGGACGGCCAAAGGCTGTTACTAATATACCGAACCGAATACGCCAACTTCAACGGGCCGAGGATGTCACTTAATAGTACCTACCTACCTACCTACCTACCTACCTACGTACTGTACTTATTCGCGATAGTACAGTCACACACCTAAGCTTACTTATAATTATCTCCATGATCAAAATCTTCTATAACTTGCATGTTTTTCAGGCTCAGGGTATATAAAGTAGAAATACCTACTACCTACATAGGTACCTAGTAACAATCTATCGATCGGTCAATCACTCAAGATCTGAATACTCCGTGCAGTACTGTAAACTGCGCTTGCTGCTTATCTGATATTCTTTTTACAAAAATAGAATGGTCCGACCTAAGATAGACACACGGACCTCGAAGGATGCCTGCGGCTCGGTTCTATTCCTTGGTGCCAGTTCGCTGAAACCGATGGGCGCATCCTTTAAAATGCGGGGGCTAGCTTGATCGCTAGGTGGGGTGCTGCCAATGCATAACAGATCAATACCTCACGTGATTATTATACTTGGTAATTTTTTCTCTGTTTGTCATGACAAGTGAGTGAGTGATTATGAAGATAGGCGGACTTGTGGTTTGAAGGTGCAGGAACTATAGCTTTTGATTGATTCCCATCTCATGATTCCCATTCCCATACTGTAGCGGGCCAGAATCATTACAATACATACACGAGATCATATCCTCCTAAAAAACACAAGCCAGAAAGCAAATGGTATCCCACCAACGCCTAGACATGATTAAGTGTAGAAATTAAGCTAAATGAATGTAGTCGATGTATGCGCATGCGCTGAAATGAGTGTTGTTCAATGACTGAAACGAAATAAAGAATCCATCCGTCCGATATATACAGGTTAGAAACGAAAGTGGATGCTGATGCGCGCTGCGTAGAAAGCATAGAAAGAATCAGAGCTGCTCAGTATCTCATACTCAAGCTCAAGCTCTTCCTCCTCGCCGCGAAAATATTCGATGTGCGCGCTTTTGGACTCAGTGGCCTGGGTGGTGGTGCGCGAACGACACTCTTCATGATATCTTGGTACCGCACTGGACCCTCTGGCTTCTTCTCTATCAGGATCTCCGGCTCAGGTGCGAGAGGCAGGCTGGCATAAGATGAGTTCTGCGCAGCATAGACTTCGGAGAGGCGTTGCATTGAGGGTCTACGGCGGGCTAGGCCTCGCGTCAACCCTTTCTTGAAAGCAGACACGGCTGTTTGGGATGGCTCAGGTTCGGGTTCGGCTTGTTCGGATTGTTGCTGGGTTGGAAAGGGGTCTGTATTTAGGAAGGCATGCGAGGACGACGTTTGGGGGATGGGCTTGCCAGTTACGAGCGAGGTGAGAGCTGCGAGGCGGGAGGACTTTCTCGGTGGGAGTTGGGTGGGTGATTGGTATGTGGGAGTGGTAGAGGAGCTGGATGAGTATGCTAGAGAGGCGATTGAAGAAATTGACATTCGGTGGATAGACTTCGAACGTCGCTTCAGAGGCGAACCTTGTTGTTCTCGCTTGCGAGGTTGTGGGGACGAGGATGGCGTAGTGGTAGAGGCGCGCGTTTCAAGTTCTACTGAGTTCCGTGCTATAGTTGGAGACGAAGTAGAACTATTGGAAGTCGAAGGTGAAACGATGGTGATTATCTGAGGCTTAACAAATGTCATAGATACTACTCGAGCAGTATCTTGTGACCTCCGACCAGGAGCCTGGGATGTAGCTACTTGTTCCGCTCCTACTATCTCGGTTTCTATGGCGTCGAGGTCAAGGTCGAGATCGAGAAGGGAGGAATCGTCGTCGTCGTCTGAAATAGAAGCATCTTCCTCACTAGACAAGTATAACTCCAGAGGATCTGACTCTTGAATCGAGGCCTTGTCCAAACCCTTCTGTTGTGAACCATCTAAATTCTGAAGTTCCAGCATAACATCGTTCAACAACTTCGATGTCCTTTTGTCACTCCGTCGAGGCAGATTCGGAGTTGGTCTGGTAGGTTGCCTCTGACGAGAACGCCGTAGAGTTGAGCCTTCCATATCGCTGTCTATGCTTTCGTCTTCCTCGAAATCTGGAAATGTTCCCTTGTCGTCCCTCACAGAGTCCGAATCTTTGACTTGAACTTGGAGGGAGGCATCATGGACTCTTTCAGTCATGTCCCTGGAGTGTAATTTCTGAAGAAGGGGCATCTCTTAAAGTGAGTTTTTCCGGTCGTCTGCTTGAAACAAGCAAGAAGTTATTCGGGGTCCTAGACGTATTTCCTTTGCGGGTCCTGGTCTGTTCTTTACAAAAGAAGAAGTAGTGCTTCGGAAAATAGAGTGCGATTGCCAGATAGAGGGGAACTTTTTACCCACTGAAAGTCGGCTGATTGAACGGCTATAGGAAATATATGTAGAGTGCTGGCCGAGTCTGGACGTTGCTCCTTTTTGGACGGGCGGCCTATACCCAAGAGGGCGGGTTGCGGTCTGCAAGGAGGCGTTCTGTTTCAAGTTGATGCACTTGTTTAAGTGCCTGACGAAACAGTTTGCGGGTTGAGCAGCGAGCTATGTGGTGGAATTCTCCGTCTCCGGTGTCCAAGAACCATCCATTCGCAAAAGCGTTGAAATGGAAAAGTAGTTGGGGATGTGTGTCTTTATTATGTGTAGTACATGACAGGACAGTACGTGAGCCGGCTGATTTTCCGAAGGATTGATATTGCGTGAGAGGTAGCAGGATCATATAAGTTGGGGAGGAAGGGACGGGCTTCTCCACTTGCGTAAGGTGATGTGGTTATCTGGTCTGTGGGATTGATTCCTGCTTTGCCTGCACTGCATACCATTCCACACCCAATCCTCCATCATTTCCTGCCCCTCTCGCCCCTCCCCCCTCCCGTGCATTCCAGGTTCAGTCCAGTTGATCCTCGAATCCTCAGTCGAGGCTGGCACGCACGTCCATCTCGCATTCGTACCTTAGCCCCATGCCATCCCGTCAAGACCAGGGGTGTTTGAGCGGAGTGAAGGAATGCGCTGGTGGGCAGTGGTGGCATTTGGTGTGTGTGACTGGGGGCCGGCAAGTGGTTGGTTGGCGAACTCTGAAATCCTCCAGGAGCGCCAAAGATTTAAAGGTCGGCAAAAGGTACTATTCCAGGAGATGGCAGTAATTGGCTGTCTCTAGCCAGCCTGAGACTGCGCTGTTCAGCCTATCCTCAGCCCACTGTTTTACGGTGTCCTGTTTTACATTGATGCGATGAACTCAACCAACCAGATGGCGTCCTCGCGATAACGCAGATCTGCTGATCGCCAGAATACAAGAAGGAGGGGTTTCCGTCTGAAGGGGGCAGAAATTCTCCTGGATTGATAACCTCCGTCTACTGCATCGAGAGTTTTGATTCCAGAATAGGGGCAAAGGGGCCAACACGCTCAGAGCCGCCATTGCTACTGTATTACTTGCTGTAAGAGCTGCACACACAAAACAAAAACCCCCAAACCGTTTCTGTGTTGTTCATGCTTCAACTAACGCCCAATGCTAAGGTACACTACTTTACATTGCACCACACTACACATGTACCTGCACAGTACTGCACAGACACGATTGCACTTCAAGTCCAATAGAGGGGGTACGTGAGACTTAATACAGTGGTCCAAAACATTACTGTCCCACAGGTGCAGATTGCACGTTCCAAGAGCTGGAGTGGCTTTTCTCACTCATTTAAAGACAGAATTCCATTCCACGGAAACCTGGATTTCGAGTTTGAAAATCTTCATACCCGCCCCCGCCGTCACCGTACATACCACGATCTATATTTCGCTTATGTAAGAGAAGCTTATCCTTGCTGCACAAAATACATCCTTTCTTTTGGCGGGCATACTCCATTGATTATCTTAACAGAAGAGTTATTGCATACAAGCTGCAGCCAAAATCCTTCGAGTCCTTCGGTAACGTCATTGAGGCTATAGGACCGCTTCGAGATGTGTTGGTAAGGGCTGTTTTCAAGATTCCAAGTTGCAATCAGGGTTGGGATATAGAACATCAATCATCGTTATGGCCACCACACCAATACAGGACTTCATTGCGCCGAGTTGCTCCGACTCTTAGAATAACGTGAGGCTGAGCTACCAGGACCACCCAGCTGAACAGCCTTTTGTACACATGTAAGCCAGCAATCAGCTCAAGCCAGTGGCAAACACAGTCACGGCAAACAGACACAATGTATCATCTTTGCGTATTGCATCTATAAGACCCTATGACCACAGTATAATAGATCCCAAGCGCGCCACACCCGCCCACGTCGCCTTTTAATGCAAATGTGTAGTAACATAAAGAAAAAGAAGAAAAAAGATGCCCGCCTCCTTGCACATTATCACGTTTGTTCTATGGACTTTTTGACTTTGTCCTATCTTACAATATACAGACAAGTAGATGGAAATCTATCTCTAAATTTGTTGATTCGTAGCTGCCACAGTTTCCTGTTGAAAATCTTATCTCGAGAATAAAAGAAATTCTATGCTTTGCGAGATCTTGTGACTGGGCGACCAGGGGTTCCGGTAGATGTGGCATGGCCATTCTGCGTCTTTCCATTCGCATTCCCATTCACGCCTGCGCCAGACATCAGGGTTGCGACATCAGGGACTTGGGCGTCTTTCAGGGAGCGAGCCGCTTTTCGGCTTGTGGGTCGCTTTCCGTCTTTCTTGTAGGTTGCGAGGTAGAAGGAGATGAAGAGGAGGAGGTACGAGCTGATTATGCCCATGCCTGCGAAAGCGGCAAACTCTTCTCCGGCGCAATTGCCAGCGTTCGGCATCCATGGCCAGTACGTCGAGGTGAAATAGGTGTAGGACGCAAAGTAGACGAACCCTGTGATTGGTTGAGATCAGCAGGCTGTAAGATGGGGCTGTGAAATGAGAATTTAGTCTTACCAAGGTCAATGACGAACTGAATGATCTGCAGACGGGTAATCCATTCCTTCCACCAGATCTTGATGCCGCGAGCGCTCTGGAAGTAGTACCAGTACATAACAACATGGACCATCAAGTTCAGTGTGATTGGAACCCATGAGACAGATGTCAAGCCGATCAGTTGGGTGTAGCAGAGCAGGGCAGTTGCGCCATGGTGGTAGCAGTGTAGGAAAGCTTCACAGGTATATTAGCTTCCATTTCCTTGTGTATTTAAGCGCGATGCATACTCAATGGCTTCTTCTTCGCAACCAGGAACACAGTATCGATCAATTCGAGGTATTTCGTAAGGTAGTTGAGCTATGGCGCATTAGCATATCCCCACTCCTCCGCCAGGAAAGATCCTACATAGTAGAGTATAACCAAAGGTGGAGTCCATCCACCTTTAACGTCGCATATGGCATAGAAGATGCCATGCTCATAGACAGTCGGAATCAGTTGCTCAGTGAAGAGCACCAATAAGATGGCGCTGATGCTCGTCAGGTAGAAGTTGTGAATCATGAACAGTCCGTTCAGCTTGAACGCCGGACGGTTGCGCATTAACTCCCGGCCCCCAAAGATCACAGTGTAGTATAGGGTGATCATAATAGCCGTCTGCTTCAATGTCGACATGGGTGTCACGCGGGGCTCGAAAGCGAAGTCTTGTGGATGGTAGCCCATCAATGTGGTGAAGGCTTTATCGAAGATGGGCCATAAGTGTACGCCAAATGGCCTTTCGATGCTCGGTAGAGGCACCATCTTCAAGAAGTCCGAAGGGCTGGTCGACATATTGATGAACCCAAATTGTCGCAATGGGTTGTCAAAAGGACAGATGCTGTAATTCGAGTAGAACGCGTCGGATCCTCGGGGTTTCGTACAACTTGAAAAAAAAAAAGGCTATGACCACGTTGAGATATGCGGCAATAGAAGGAAAGAATTAAATTAAATCGAGGACGAGCTCGATGATGAAGGAGTGGCGAGAAAAGGCAGCCTTCGGTCAACAATTAAGGTGACCTGGTGGTAAAGCGGATGCGACAGATGAAAATTGAATATGGGGATGAGAAAATACAAAATGCCTCCTTTTCCCAAAATGGGATTCTATTTTGTCCACGAAGCCGAGGCCGCTGCTGATTGGACAGATTGAAGATTACCCCTAGAACTAGATACATAATCACGTGTCCGCCTTAAATGACAGATCAACACGTGTTGATTGGTCAGTTTTTGGTAGTTCAAACTATACGGAGCGGAGCATGTAAGGAAGATATCTCAGATTACCATTGCAATCATAGAGTTGTAACAGCTTTAAGGCTCATCCCTCATCTATCCGCTCATCTCCACCAGCTAAGCCAACAATTGTATCTGGTAAACCTTCTTCCTTCCACTAATAAACAGTCAGTTAGTTCCTGCCGTCAACTCCCAATATCAAAAGCAAATACATACAGCTTTAATACCTCCCACAACATCCGTAGCGTTCCAAAGCCCCAAGTCCCTCAACGCGAACGCAGCCAAAGAACTAGTATACCCCTCCTGACACATCACAATCACTCTCAGATCATACCGATCCGCTATCTTAAGCCTGGCTTCACATCTAGGATCGAATCTCCATTCGAGGACATTGCGTTCTATGATTAATGCTCCTGTTATCTGACCATGTTCTTCTCGTTGCGCGGAGGGTCGGATGTCTACTAGTACTGCTGGAGGACGAGGACTAGCTGTCTCTTCCAAGGTTTTGTTGTTGTTCTTTTGGAGATAGGAGTAAGCTTCGGCAGGAGCCAAGCGTGTTAGGTGAGAACGCGCTGTTTCTAGTACTGAGACAATTCCTCGAGAGCCTGGAGGCGGGGTGTATGGATCCATGGCTCAGGAGTGACCAGTGCTGGAGGAAGAGACCCAGGAGAATGTGGAAGCTTAGTTCCATTCATCACGTGTGTTTGCGCCATTGGTATTTTGCATGAAATATCTCATACGAGATAGTTGATCAATCATACTCCTTTGAAAGACTGTTTTGAGTAATTTCAATACTCCTGTTTGATGCTTTGCCGTTCTGCAGGAAATGGCTGATGCTATGCCGTCTGTAACGTGATATCAGCTTGATGAATCGCATCTTAAACTCGGAAATTGGGACACTGCCCTTGTCCTTCGTATCAAGGCTCCTACAGTAATCGTCCACTTATCGTTGCACGAGATAGACGTCGTCGCATTCGCTCCTAATCTACGGAAGCGATTTTAGCTGTCAAGCGAACATGGCCGGTGGGATTTTGTATAGCATCTACACCTAAAAATTCATATAATCAGTGCAACCTATAAGCAGCCACCCTAGACGAATACCAAAAATGCCTCCCTCTCCTTATATACCTTCATCGCCTCCACCGCGTATTATACGTTCACTTTCTACCTCCCCAATTGCTACATACAAAGCTGCAGTCCAAGACGCTAGTAACTATAAGGAACGCCTGCGAAAGCGAAGAAATAGCTCTGCAAATACCCTAAAGAGAGTCAAGCTATAGCTTGTCAAATCTTTAAGCTTAAACCAAGAACCCTTAGCAATTCGATCAAATCAGATGCGAGCTAAGCCGAAATTGAGGTCATATAGGTAATAATAAGATCTTGACGGATATAGAGGAAGCTGGCCTTCACAACTTCATTCGATCTTGGATTCAGCATTACCAGCTCCCCACAAGACAAGTTATCTGCCCTGTTATTGCTATAGAGGATGTCCAAATTGTCACTTCTCTGCCATCACCTAGCCCTAGCTTTATATCACTATATGGGGAGGCTTTTGACGTCCCTCTTGACCCTGAATTGCCTTATGATAGTAGTACTAGTAGTGATAGCAAAAGTGATTTAGAAGATGCGTCTGATTTGGACGATACGGCTATTAGGTTTACTTTGCGACGAGGAGGTTAAGGTCACTTTATACCAACTTTTGTATGTAATAGTACTTATTTATTATCACCGGCCATGTTCGCTTGACAGCCAAAATCGCTTCCGTAGACTAGGAGCGAATGCGACGACGTCTATCACGTGAAACTATAAGTGGATGATTAGGTACGGCGATGTGTTGTCTAATTATATTTTGAAGTCTCATCCTGTCAAGAGATTACAGTATTCCGGGCCCCATTATTTTTGGACGTTGGAGGGAGTTGTTGTAAAGAGTTATGGCATGATTTTATTCCTCGGTAAAAGCCGACCTAGGATCCGCAACCAATAAAATGCCTTGCATTTCCGGTTTGCCCTCAATCCTAGGACCTGGCGACATACAGAAAATCATTCGAGGTTCATCAGAATCCCATAACACCAACCACAACACCTTCATAACCCGTATTTCCTAATGTCGTCGACTTCACTGCTGCGCATTGCAGCTCGCGCTCAACCATCCACCTTCTTTCGCGCCAATGGCCTCCGTAGCCTGACTCCTCGCTGCTCCAATGCAGTCTTCGCCGTGCCAGCTCTCATCGTGACCTCTGGCTCAGCCAGCAGCTTTAGCACCAGCAGCATCCGCCGCTCCGATGAAGGAGGACACCACGAGGAGAGTTTCGAGGAGTTCACTGCCAGGTACGCTATTATACCCAATGGCCTCGAGAGCGTGCTTTTGAGCATATTTCTACACAGCCGAAACGGCGCAGTGGCCCCGACCATCGAACATCTTCAATTGCTAACGTTCCGGTCCCAAAATATAGATACGAGAAGGAGTTTGATGCTGTGCAAGATGTCTTTGAGCTTCAGGTGTGTACCGCTTGTTTCCCTATGCTCCGGTACGCGTACCTGGATATTTGCTAATTATCGTACGACTTTAACAGCGAAACCTTAACAATGCCTTTGCCTACGATCTCGTCCCTTCGCCTTCCGTCCTTACTGCCGCCCTGAAGGCTGCGAGAAGAGTCAATGACTTCCCAACAGCTGTGCGAATCTTTGAGGGTACGTACCTCCTTTCTGGTGGAGTAGGGGGCTGGGGAAAAGTAATAGAGAGAGATAGGGGCTAACGGTCTTTTGAATCTAGGTATCAAGGCGAAAGTCGAGAACCGTGGCCAGTACGATCAATATCTTGAGGAGCTCAAGCCGCTCCGGGAAGAACTAGGTCTTAGCTTGAAGGAGGAGCTATTCCCCGAGGCAGCGAAATAAATGACAGGAGTTGTATCATGGGTGGCGTGATTGTAGATGGAGCGATGGGATGGTGGTTTAGATGGGAAACGGTACCAGAGTTCTGAGAAGCTCTGTTTTGCCTACTTTTCTATATGTATAGCTGTAACAAGAACTGCAATGCATCTCTCCCTTATTAGAATTCTGTTTCCTACTACGTGAGAAGCTGGTATGAAGCTCTGATAATCAACCGCAGTTTTGCATGGTGTGATGTAGGTAAAGTAACAGTCACATTGGGAGGGATATAGTCCCTGCATGATACCTAGATGCGGGCTGGGAAGTACAAATATACTTTGTTCATGTCGCTTCTCCTCCTCCTCCCCCTCCCCCTTTCCTCTTGGATATCATCTCAGAGAAGCCAGACGAAGGCCGGGCTCTGTAACCGCGGCCTCTTGATTCCCAGTCTCGGTCCTCAGAGAGTGAATGTGCCAGTCGTTCAGCAGGTTGAGGGAATGTATTAATAGCTTTGGAAAGAACTTCCAACCACCTCGACCGCCAACCTCCATAAACGAACTCGCAAACCACAATTTTTGAACATCCTTTATAAGCCCTTTGGATCCTCTTTTTGAGCCAAAATATTACCTACTGCCTCTAAGTCCATATCGTTACTAACGATTCTCTCAATGCTGAGAACCGCTGCTACCTCAACCAATCACAAGCGAGCAGACTCGACCAAACCCAGCTTCCATCCTTACAGAACACAGCTTCTCAAGACACTGCCAAACATTTGAGCGATCAAGTAGACATCTCTTCCTCCAAAGCCTAGAGAGGGTAATAACCACCAAGAAGACGCCTTCCCCCGGTCTTAGCACGACCAGACAAGCTGATTTCGTTCCAAGCACAAGAAGTCAAAGTCGATCTTGAGAGAAAGGATGTCAAGCAGCTCCATGAAAACGCCGCGCCATCAGCATATCACAGATGCGGCAGCCCTTCAACGTTTCCGGAGAACTTCAGACCTAGACGAAGAATTGCGGGATCGTGACCCAGGGGCTTTTGCAGCTTATGTAGGTCACTTACTCTCTTATCACCGATCGATCCTACAAGGCTGTCACAGGAAATTCCGCTAGTGCAGCCCAATCCGAAATCCATCGCTAACGCGAACCCCAGGAACACCAAGGCGTCCTCGATTCCGCAAAAAGAGTCCCCAAAGACACTGCCCGTCGATCGAAGCACCATTATACAAAGCCCTATTCCAGAGATCCTCCAGGAGCAGTCAAAGGCTATAGCGATAGCGGACGTAGAGTGCCGCAAGTGGAAAGCGGGGAGGTCAATGGGGACGCACACGCATATGCACACAAGCCAAAGGACATTTCCGAAACCCAGAAGCAGCGTGACGAAGAGCCATGGTAAGCTTGCTGATTCTCACAACTCTCTTCCGTTCTAATAAAGCTATTGCCTAGGCATTTTACCCCTCCCTATCTTAACGGCAAGAGGTACGTTGCACCAGTCCACCGGTATATCTACTTGAAGTCCTCACAGACGAATCGGCTCACAACGTATTTTAGCTCTGCTGGGTCTCTGCGCTCATCTCCAGCCTATGCACTGCCATTGCCCCTAATGGTACATTCCCTTTCCACTCCGATGCATTTCCTGCTGAACCTCCGCAGAGAAAACACAGACTATTAGGCGGTCCGCAGCCTACCAACAGACTACGATCGACTGATTCACAAACATCTACGAAGTCCAAAACCGTTGCTGGCCCATTCGACTTGACAAATAGCTCATATAGACCAGATGGAGAGCGGGACCACCCCGCAAAGAGACAGCGTGTGGATAATACCATAAACAATACATCTCCGAGGGATGTCGTCAGCCTCGTAGAGGAGTCGCCAGCAAGTCAGAGTATGAAAAGCCGCCCTACAGCTAGATCTGGGTACGATCAAAGTCAACACCAGCAGAGGTATAGTGATTCATTGGGCATAAACGTACCAGAGTTTCGGAAAGTTGAAGAAAGTACCAGAATACAGCACCACCAAAGAGCACCACGCAAAAACAGCACCTCCATAGAAAGTCCACGGGGGCGAGGATCCGGCGGTAACATATTGCGAGAGGAGGGTATAAAAAGGCAAAAGCGCGCAAGGGAATCCGAATCTCTCGATATTTCATTGAACGAGATCTCGGATGATCCCATTCAGGATGACGACGATCAAGCGCGCAGCAAGGTCACGCAGGCCCCGAAACAGAAATCTTTAATTCAAGTCCAGATTCCCTATACTGGAACTGCACACCTTCGTTCACACAGAGTCAAAGATGCTAATAGCAAGGTCCTGGCACGAGCTCCCGCAGATACTGGCCAGCGATCCCCTTATTTTTCGCAAACTAGTGGCCAACCTGATCCACCTCGCCGAAGTAGAAATGCTGATACCTCGGATGTGGACGAACAGTCTCGGAACAGTCATACTTCAGAGGAAATGGGCCCCCCAAAATACAATCCATTGAAACGCGTCGAACAAAATTCTGCGGCTGCTGCTTACGAGGATGAAGCGAGCGTTGATGAATTGGCTGTTGAGCCCCAAACCCCTCGTGAGGTTGCGCGGACTTTATTAAAAGCACGGAGAAATAACACATCTCGTTTAGATGCCTCTAAACAAACCCATGCCAATGTTGAAGTCGTGGAAAGTGATTCCGACGACGAGCTCAGCACACAGAGATGCAACATAAACCATTCAGAATTTGGTTCCAAGACCACACAGCCCTCCAAGTCAGCCCCTACGAAGAAAGCGAAGCACCTAGAAACAGTCCCTCACCACACATATAAAATTGTGGAGATGTTTTTCGAGAACAAGAAATGGCTGGAATGCGGTAGCAAGACATGGTCGATAACTCACACATACAGCGATAAAACTTTGAGAGTATTCGATGAAGTCCGCAGTTATCAAACGGATATATTGACTAGCAAGGTCGACAGAATCATGATGAATCCCGAATGCTCGAAAATCATCATTCACAAAAGGAAAGATATGCAAGACGCAGAGGTTAGCCTGAGGGTGTACTTAGACTTTGGTGAGGCTAGTCAGGTCAAAGAATTTCAAGAACGGCTCAAAAAGGTGGAAGGAGAATCCGTCAAATTTAACCTGAAGGCTGTACACTATCTCGAAAATACATTCTCAAGCAACCGAAACAAGAAGGCCGAACCGAAATCCCAGAGGCGGACGCTCGAAGAAGAACCAGAAGATGTACGACTAGCAAAGAAGAAGCAAGACATGAAGCTCCAGGGGAAATGGGAGAAGCATTGTGATTCGACACAGAATGGCAATACTCGATCGAGGCAAATCGCCACAGATTCCAATGATCTTAAGAAATCTCAGCGATCTAGTGGCCTAAGAAAGAGGATGGAAACTTCGGCAATGGAGATTTCTGATGATGATGCGCAAAACTTAAACTACAATGCTTCTGGGATAGCTCCAAGTCATTTCTACGGTTCGGGTGAGGCAGAGGTCCATCACGATACACGCTCATCCAGCCGGAAGTATGCAAATTCTCCTCGCAAAGCACGGTCTCCAACTCCTGTGCTAGGATGGACTTTGCAAAACCCTAATTGGGAAGAAGGTTGGCACAGCTCACTTGTCTTCGCCGGTGATGGCAAGGCTAGAGCGACAATCGAATCAACCGATATCCCAAAATTGGACGAGGGCGAGTTTTTGAATGACAGCTTGATATACTTCTATCTCCTCTATCTGCAAAAACGCTTAGCTGATGCTCACCCGGATCTTGCGAAGCGAATCTATGTTCAGAATTCGTTTTTCTACGAAAGACTGACCAAGGAAGCAAAGTCACGGATCAACTACGAAGGCGTTCGGAAATGGACTGATAGAGCGAACGTTGACATTTTCACAAAGGACTACATCATTATACCCGTCAATGAGAATCTTCATTGGTACGTCGCGATTATCTGCAACGCCCCTAAGCTCCTCAACCCCGAAATCGAAATAAATGATCCGTCATCTCAACAGTCCAATGAAAAATCAGAAGACCATGGGTTAGAACACGCTGCTCTTATTATGACAACTGAAACTTCTTCTCCGCCACGACAGGTGGCCCCTGATGCCGATGCTAAAATCGCAGAGCTGTGTTTAGACGATGCTTCTGAGAACAAAAGTGGAAGATCAAAGTTTGACGAAACTTCCAATCCTAGCCCATCAAAGGAACCTTCAATAAAAGAAGCCAATATCGTTCCGAATGTTAATGGTCCAGATGAGCGAAAGCGTCAGAATGATGATGATGACGATAATGATGTGGCACCAGTGATATCGGATCTCCTTCCAGCTCCAGCAAAGGCCTCACGCAAGGGGAAAAGGGGCTCAACAGGTCGAAAAAGGTATGATCCTCAGGAGCCGCGGATCATCACCCTGGACTCTTTCGGTCACTCCCATTCGCCTGCATGCTCTAATCTAAAGGAATACTTAGTTGCAGAGGGCAAAGAGAAACACTGTAAGGAGATATCTCCACCACTGGCTATTGGCATGACGGCGAAATACATTCCTCGACAGAACAATTACTGTGATTGTGGTGTGTTCCTTCTTGGCTACATGGAGCGATTCTTCGAAAATCCTGATGGTTTTGTCGGTGGTTTACTCTCGGGCAGCCCACCCGATCATGAAAAGACTTGGGTCAATGCTCCAGAAATACGAAATAGCATTCGAGACATACTTTTTAAACTCCAAAAAGAGCAAGCTCCTGAGCCAGGAAAGAAAAAGGAGCGAAAGAAGACGAAGGCTGCCCTACAGCCGGGCACTATTCCTGATTCAACTATCTCCTCCAAAGCCATGTCCAAAGAGGCATCAACGAGTGCTCGGCCATCTGTATCCCCTGAGGATGCAAAGTCAGATCGCGCCACAGCAGCCATTGCGAGAACGCTAATGGGCACTGAAAGATCAGTCCCTCTCGAGGATCCTCAATCCAAGAGCGAGACGAGTCTTCTCCCCAGGCGTTCGACTCATGTGACGCCCAAAAGTGCCATGAAGCTTGTTACTCCCGATGGTCGCAATCACCACAAGTCGGAAATTCCCGAGTCAGATGTAGAAGATGCCGGGCCCCTGACAAGAGCAAACCCGTCTCCCGCAGAAGCTTTAGAGCTCGGAAACAGCCATACCATGCTCGGCAGTTCTAACGAAGAGGGCGCCCAGTTTGATCAGAGCGATAAATCCTTTGGGCTTATGGGGATGTTGACAAATAAGCTAAAATTTTGGAAGAAGAAAAGCGACCAAGATGAAGTAGCAAATTCAGGGGCCACCGAATCCAATCCTCTGGAGATCGAAGATTCTCAGACAAGCATTGCTTACGAACCAAACCAAGTTTCCAAGCCGCGCTCTCCTGTTCAAGAACAGAAATATGTCCCTATGGTTGAAGACGAATATACAACCTCCAACTTGCATAGTCAGCAGATTCCACCTGATGCAGATAATTATTTTGGTACAGAACCGTCGCTACGAAGAGGTAGCTCGGATGAGGCTATCGAGTGTCCATCTTCAGTAGGTCTAGATGAGCCATTCACAAATAGATCGAGTTCTCGTACTGCCACCAGCGCGTTCACGGCTGGGAATGAGCCAGGCAACGAACACAACGATGAAATGCTCCTAGCCCATACGGTTCGACATACTGCAGCATCGAGCTCGAGCTTGCCATCCAGCTTAGCGCGCGCAACGTCTCTTGGAAAGAATCATTCTAATAAGAGGTATCGTTCAGAGGCTCCCGAGACGAAGAAGCGATTACGTGTTGAGGAAGTCGAAAAAAACAGCAACTTCAGTTATCATGAGATGGGGAGAGATTCACGGGGTTCCTCTGAAGGTAGCGTGGAACAGTTCAAAAGGCAATGGCCTGGCAATGATGTTAAGGCCTTCAATTCTCGTTCCTCCATTGGTGAAAATGGTGGAACCCATACGAAATTTGAAGAGTAGCCCAATGCACGAGCGACGAATTCATTTGCTGCATTTTTCCTTTCTCACTAGCATGGCATGCGGCGTTATGATATCCAATGCTTTTTTTGGTTTTGCAGTCACATTCTGAGCAGTTCGAAAAAGGTTGGGTTTGGCGTTCTGGCTATGACAGTGGACATGTCTCATATAGATATGAGACAATGAGACTAAAATTTGCTAGATTTCTAGCTGGAATATATCTAACTTAAGCACATTTTTCTTCTTCGGAGTGATTGTGACATCTTTACATCAAATACAAAACCCTTTCCTGGGCAGAAACCACGCCGCCGGTTTTGACGTTCAAGCCGAGTGGCACATTGATTAAAAAGCTGCCATGGCAAATGCTGCTTTCTGAATGCACCGCGAAGCAATAAACCTTAGACAAGATCGTTCATGCTAAAATTCGACACTGGCAAGCACTCGACATCACACTGTCACAGGCTGCAAGAAGTAGAAGAATGGATGGAGGATAAACTGAAACCTGGGCGGGATTTATGTTTCTGTGATTTTCTTTTCTAGCTGCTGTCAAGAATACCATCCATTTATTCGTTCATGCATGCATCCATTCACTTATACATAGGAAGGCGTATGAGAACCAGAATGCGATTTTCGTAGGAGCCAGACCAGGACCAATGCAGGAAATACAAGTACCACGCATATAACGTGCTCATCTCACAGCTGGCGGCATAATGGCATGATTGTAGTAAGTATTCATATTTAAGGAGGAGATCTGACAGAAACAAGTGGTGATTATATACTTGCAGAACAACGAAGAGTCACTCGATCCCTCCCCCGCACTACCTGATTCGTTGTATAGTAGCTCAAACTTCAACTACCAGCCAGCAAATATTCTCCCTCGTCGTTCTAACCCCACCCAGCCCCAACTCCCCCATCTATAAAACAAACATTCTCCACTCACATCAAGTTCTATAATTAAAATCATTCCCTCTTCCAGGCTTACTGCCTTACCTGTCTCAAACTCTTCACCCCATCTATCTCAACCTACCCCCATAAAACGACTTCTTTCCCTCGGAGTCAATAAATAACTCTACCTTGTCACCTCTCACTCGTCCTCTCAGTCACCGAAACTGAACATATACAAGATAAATATCTCGAATTTATTTCATGCTATAAACTATTTCGATTGCCAGTCTATGCAAGATAGTATATACAAATGCCATGATGCCACAAACGCGCAACGAGTAAAATGAAAGCGAAAAGGAAAATAACAAAAGGGAAGGAAAGCACATGTTAGTACATGATCATAACCTGCATTGTCTCCTCCGCCACCCTACTTCCTTCCCCACTAGACATCCCAACTCGATCCGCTCGCTATGCATACGCGATAACTTTTCCCATGCTCAATCCGATTCCGTTTGCTATGATCGCCCATTCGTCGCCCCTACTAGGAACTCCCATTCGTAATAACGCCCTCGGCCGGACTTGTTGGACCCGTGGATTTCTTCGACCTTAATGTAAGTGGAAATGGGTATTCCTCTGGGTCTTCCTCCTCACTAAGAATAGTTAGATTAGAACTATCCTCACCTTTGAAACTTCAAACTTACGGCAACTTCCACGCAACATAATCCTCTGTACTCAAGCCCTCTCGTCCTTCTTGCAGACTAGCAAAATCACCAGGTGTCATCATACCGCTGCGGTCGCGAGGTGATCCAGGGACGGAGAACGGACGCGAAATCTTCTGCTCGACGCCAGGGATGAAGTCATCTTCGTCGGAGCTGTCGAACGATGCCGGGTACGCTCTTCTGAGGGCGAGTTGACGGGCCTTGACGTACTCCATACCCATGCGCTTCCAATCGAGTAAATCGCTTAGGCGCTCGGTGCGGTTACGTTGATTGATGCGTTGGCGGCGAGATTTGCCGGCAAAGTCGAACATGAAGGATGTGAGTTGATTGACGGAATCATCGACACCTTTCATGCGACGGTCTACGATGTAGATGCCGTAGTCGGTGGAGTTCTCGATTAGCTCTTCCATGTAGCAGCCGAAGCCTGAAAGGTTGGTTGTGATGCTGGGAACGCCCATGACTGTGCATTCTGCTGGAGTGTATCCCCAGGGCTCATAGTATGATGAGAAAACACCAAGATGAGTGCCCCTAACGAATTCATCATAATCCATTGGCAGAACTGGATTGGCCGAGTTCAAGAACTCGGGGTGGAAGACAATCTTTACACGGTCTGAAGGATGGTTGAACAGCTGCACTCTCCGGATTTGGTTCAAGATTGGGTCCTCGGCGTCATTTGCCATGTTGTGGGTAACAATAGGAGGAAGACCATGCCTCTTCATAGCGAACAACCGTCTTCGAAGCAGAATTTTGTCTTGGCTGGTAATCAAGTCCTTCTCATCTGGCAAGGCGTCTCCTTCGTGCCACTTCAAAGCTCGCTCAAATATTCTCTTGCCGACTCCCTGCTCGATAATATCAACAGTGTCTCGTAGTGACTTGATCACAGCTTGTCCCTTCAGGGCCTCCACTGTCAATGATTGAGTCTGTGCTGGCATAATTATGAATGCGACAACCGTCATCTTGGAACCGGCAGCCTTCAACCGGTGGTTCAACCGTGCTAGAGCTTCAATAAACATATCCACCCCCTTATTCCTGTATTCATAGCGACCGGCGGTGAAGAGGTAGAGGGTATTTTCGGGGTCGAAATCATTATGCCCATAGAAGTGCCCTCTGACAAAGTCATGGATCTTCTCCTTGGATTGTTGATGTAGATTTTGGAATTCGTGCATAGCAGAGAATTTAGTAACATTGAGACCATTGGGAAGCACGCCATCGGGCTTTCGCTTTAGAAGATGTTCGCTTTCATAAGCCGTGATATGAGAGACGGTGGTAAAGACATCGCAGGAATGTGTAGCTGCCCGCTCAATGCAGTACCGGTGGTAGATACCACGTTTCCCAGCCTCATGATCCACATCAAAGTATTGTAGGTTGTTGTAGAAATCGACTGAACCGGCGCAGAGGTATCTCCCGAGGAGGGTAGCGTGGGTTGTGAAGATTGTGGTAACATCAATTCGGCGCTTTTTGCAGAGCGGGAGGGCTACACCGGATAACCATTCGTGGAAGTGAGCAATGACTGCCTTGTTTTTTTCATGGGCAACAAACTGTAAAGTGTCAATAGCCGCTCTAGAAGAGATTTAAGCTTCTTACCTCTCCCAAGAACCATGCAACAAGGTAACCAAATACTACAGCTTCATTGGTCTCGTCGTCCCCGGGAGGAGATGGAATACCAGCAGTATTCCATAAATCCGCCTTCCACTCGTCGAGAAATCTGTATGCGGTCTTTGTGTCGATCAAAATCACCCGGGGAGCTCCCTCGATCAACCAGCGTCCATATACAATGCCAATTCCCCGTTCTTCCATAGACTCGATGGTTGCGGCAAGTTGGGGGTTTGTCGGAGTAAGGGCTTCGACCTCCACAGCAGCCTGTACTGGTCAGTACATACCCTAAAAGCTTTCCGCGCGCTCAAACTTACGGATTGCCGGTTGAGGGGCCCAATAAGAGTGTATCGGTCTCCATATTCTGCTGTGGTGACAGGAGCTTTGGACTTGATGACAGAGTAGATACCACCAACTTGGGTGTGTTAGTATGATCCACGAGCCCTGCAGGGTATTGTGCAACGTACCTCTGTTAGCGACTTCAGTGGCTATCTCAAAGAGATAGTGATTCCGAATGTCTCTATGCTCGGCATGGCCATCGTGCTGTGCCATGGTTGTGTAGTGGACTGCCGCTGCGACAGGTGTAGATGGTGTGATATGTACAACTTCAAGGGATGGGAAGTCCGGTGCTGGGAAAACACTGGAAAGCTTGCTTTTGAGGGAGGATGAAAAGCTATAGTCCTAAGATACCTGGTGGGTAGGTAGTGCTGGATCTAGATGCGAACAGATGCTGGCAGAATTCGCGCTTTCCCCACGCTGGCCCGGCCAGGTCAGCGCGCGAGCCGGCACTGGGGTGACAAGTGACAAATAACGGGCAAAACTTACAGTACAGGTAGGTCAATTGAGGAACACCAACAACGGGAATTGAGTCTGAAATTCTACGTCGATAATGCTGTGAAGATGAAGCTTCCTTGTGAGGGGAGCAGAGGGGAGGGGAGGGGAGGGGAAGGGAAAGGGAAGGGAAGAAAGGCAATAGTTAAGAAAGCGGTGGTGACAGGTTGAAGCTGCAACTGGAGCTCAACAGCAGATTGCCTTTCTGAAGTCGGAGGGTTTGATATTGGGTTAGTCTGTCCGCTAATGCCAATTGCTCCGGGGTGCCTATTCGCTGAAGGGAGGCTGGGAGGCTGGGAGGCGTTGAGTCGGATGGGAAGGCCTGCAATTAAAAACATATCCCTGTCCGGAATGACCTCACTCACCTGCTCGTACGCTGCAAAGCACATTGTATAGCAGCTGCACAGCTTCACGCTTCTTTGCGGGGTGAGTAGTCAAGTTGCATATGACATGAACCAATCAGGAGAGTGAGTTACAGGCAGTTCTTCTCTCTCATTTGTCCCCAGTTTCCACCAACCATCCACCTCCGGATCCCACTTCCCCCCCCCCCCCCCCCTTTTCCACTTTTAATACTGCGCATGTGAACGTCCCTTCTGCGTGGGATCCGCAAAGCTAATAGCAGAAAATATCACCTGATCCACTCCGAAGGCGGGGCTCCAATCTCCTCATGCCATGGTGATACGATCGTCGACTTCCTTTCAAGCAAGCCAAGGCCAAGCAAGGCAAAGCTCACCACGAAGCAGAACCGTAGCGTGAGCTAACTACACGTACAGTGCTGCTGCGCTGCCGTAGCTGAGTTTACAATCTTTCCCAGGTCAAAACATGACTTTATGTCTAGCCTCCATACTCAAGACACCCGTCCATTGAGTATCGAAACACGAAATCAATGTTATCTACCCGGGAGAAGTCAATAACCACCAGAACTGGGTATCGCCAAAACCCAAAGACGTTTCCTCCACAGCCTCAACCTGACCTTTTACTAGTTCCTCTTATGAAGCAATTGCATACGTCTGGGGAGAGCCCATCTTCTCGCAAACGCTCAATCTCCGAACAAGTTACCTAGCTATAACACCGAGCCTGGCTACTGCACTGCAGTACTTCAGATACCCCGATCAGTAGCGAAGGCTTTGGACAGATGCTGTGTGTAACAACCAAGGAGACGACAAAAAGGAACATCAAGTCGCGTTCATGGGCGGTGTATATGGGACTGCTTTGCATGTGCTCTGTTACCAAGGCCTCAGATCTTTGACCGCAGACCCTTCAAATATGCATCAGAGATACCTGGAATTCCAAAATCTTGCTTCGGTGAAAACCAATGCGGATAGTGGAGAAAGACAAAATGATGCACCCGATGAAGAGGAACTGAACGCCAAAAGCTATCTAGATCCGCGTCCTCGACCAATTCTCGACCTAGAGGTATCATACATGTCAAGATGACAAGACATACAGTACAATACCATGCAGCGCTAAATAGTGCCCAAGGCACCTCCTAGGAATCCTTTTCCTCAGAACTCCTTCCTTGGTAAGATGCTTCAGAGGTCAAGATTAATGTCAAATCACAAGTGTCGAGTTTAGCAAATTTCATTATGTTTCATTTAGTCTTGAAGTTCCCGTAATAGATATTTTATTCTTGATAAGGAAAGAAATCAAGCTTATCTCCTTTGTCTTAAGGAATTTTTCTGTTTTATTATCTGTGGCATCCCATCACCAGGACTACCCGTTTCCAGGAGAAAGAACGAGAGAGACAAATAATCATGGGCTGTGAGCACGAAGCTGATCTTTGATCGTCTCGAAAAGCTCGCTCCGAGACTGATAAACCTCCTCGAATTGCGACGCAAAATCGGGAGCATCCGTCATAACAACATCCTCGGGCTCCCCATCATCTTCCTCCGTCTCCATCTCTTCAATGCCTGGATTTGCAGCCCCCCGAACTTTCACACACGGCTCGCACGAACACCATATCGTAGCGTCATGCGGCTCCTGATTACCTCCTGCCCGATACATGCGACACCATTGGCAGAAGCACAGGTCCCAAGGCCGGTGGGGATCGAGGTCTGTGATGGTTCCTGGGGCGATGCGGAGATCGTCGTTGTCTTCGAGTGTGAAGCCGGGCTCGCGGATAAGGCCCTCGACGTCCAACTCCTCGAACATCGGGATGTAGGCAATGGGGTCGAAGAAGGCGTTTCCTTCTACGTACCAGCATTCTGATGCGTCTGTTAGGGCTGGGGATGCTGGGGGTGCTTGGGGTTGGTCTGAGTAGTCTGAGCCGGAATCGCTGTCGTCCATTGTGAATACCCAATTGGAGTTCGATTGGTTGGTGGTTTCGTCTCCATTCCCACTCTTACTGTCGTCGATTGTAAAAAATATCAAGTTGGAGTTTGAGTCGTCGACTTCGCTTTCTCCAATGTGGGACTGTGAGTTCGTTGGGTTGTCAGCGGCTTTGTTTCCACACTCAATGTCAACGAGTCTAAGGGCTCGATTGATTAAGCACTCTTCGTCGCGGTCTTCGTCTCCATTCTCACTCTCACTATCATCCATTGTGAATACCCATGTCTGCCACCAATCAAGATCTATATGGTGAGATTTCCAGTCATGGGTAGGAACAGGGCAGAAGATTGGAGACTCCTCTCCTCTGTCGATCGACATCGACGAGCTGACAACCATGCAAGCTGGCTCTGGCTCTGGCTCTAGCTCTAGCTCTGGATCTAGATCGCACCACGGCCGGTAAACAACAATCGCGACTCCAGGAAGCAAGACATCATTGTCTGCTCTGTAACCGGGCTTTTGTTCCTCTACCGCGAATCGCGGCCGCTGAAACATTACCCCCACGCTGGGAAGGAAGAATGCGTTGTCCAGATCTTCAGACACGGATTCATTGTCTAGATTGTCATCACTGGGCTCCTGTGTCTCTGGAGCGGACCAACAATAATTATTTTCCCACCCGTTCTCATCGTCGGCGTTATATTCGGAGTCGATTAGCGGCTCGATGCTCTCAATGTGTTCGCTGGTGCAAGCCCACACGTTTTCGAAATCCATTTTATTTGGAAAGGTCTCAGAGTACTGTATATGTACCTTTAATGGAAAGTATGAGTCGGGTGGATGCACGTTTGTTGGATGTGTTTGAGTGACGGACGATGAAGATGAAGATGAGGATGATGAGATGAGATGAGAGCTTGCATTCTGGGTTCAGGGGGGAACTCTTGTAGGCCTGGCCAGAGGCTGTTTGAGCTGACCCACATCCTGAACAGATTTGCGTGTGTGAGGGATAGCTGGCGGGCGAGTGGAATGGTGAGTATAATGGTATTGTTTAGGCGATAAAGAGTCTGTACTGCAAAGGCTTGTTTCGATATATCTGGGGGGTTTCTTTGTTGGGTGAAGTTATCAGCCACTAAGAGGGGATTCTTTGACTTCTATATTTCATTGGCTTTTTGTGCAGTCTCTCCTTTGATCATTGTCAACCAAGATATAACTACTGAGATAAATCAGGGCGCTGAAAAGTCTCGGCTTTTTTGAAACATTGAAACATACCCTTATTACTCGCAAGACGTCTATACATATCTCTCTTCCGCCTTGGCTTAATTCCTTCTCTTTTCTACTAATATAACATAACATAACTCCATCACACTACCTACACCATCAATCAACCCAGCCAAACCATCCAAGCCAGCTACACCCACTCAACCACAACCAATGCCCACCCACAAAGTCCATCCCCCCCACCTCCCCTACTTATCTCCAAAACTTCCTTCACTTCACTTCACTTCACTTCACTTCACTTCACATCCTCTCCGATGACTAACTCTCAACTCCCTTAGACACAAACAAAAACGCAAACGCAAATGCAAACACAGCCGAAGCCGAAGACGAAGCCGAAGACGAAGTTATATCCACCCTGCAGATTCTGTGGAAGCTCCAACCCACACCGTAGTACGAACTGCGATGTCAGATGTCCGGCTTGTGGGGAGTATCATCGGCCTGGTGATTGTCGGCAGCCGGGATAGGGGGGAGTGAAAGGGAGAGCGGGAAAGATTTGAAGATTGGTTTTGTGGATTATGCATGTAATCGAGAGATTGTTTTTGAGGGATTTTCTATACTGCGATGATTATTGGGAAATGGCTGGACGAGTAAAGGTAGATGGTATTCAGCTCTTAGAGATGGAACTTTTACGGGGTATGTATGCTCCAAAGAGATACGGAACGTGAGTTTGCCTTGCTTGTTGCTTGATCGATCATGCTAGGCTCGTAAATCCGATGTGCTTTTACTAATATTAATCCGTCTCTTGAGAAGTCGTGGTTAGTCTTTCTTTCCTAGCTACAAGTTTAATGTGAAATGGTACTTTGGTTCGTTGTATGTTGTTGGGTTGCTAACGTTGTATTTGTTATTGAATTTATGAAGTGTCTTTCAGAGATCGCATTGTCTAACATTTTCTCCACATCCACATCCACTTCCACCTCTGTCTCCAAACTCCACTCTCGTTCGTGCCTTTAGACAAAGAGCTCTCTGACATCCATTTCGTCTGTGCTAAATTCTCATCCGCTGGCTCCAAACAAAGGGGAGTACCAAGTCCTCGGAACCTCAGATTAGACCCAACTGAAGCACCAAACCCTAGCATGTCTACCATATTCCCAGTCCCATGCTCCACGGGGTCGCCAGGCGAACACAACTCACCACTTATCTAGTGGATTGGACCATCTACCGTTTAGAAATGTCTAGTGCAGGACAGTGTTTTCCAGACCCAGCATCCCCTTCTAGTTTTCAGTATTGGAAGTCCACGGAATAGTTGCTCATATTTATATAAGTCCTCTGATGGCACGGATATGTCGAATATCATAAACCACCACCTTCAGCTACCAAAGCCTACAATACAACCCAACAGACAAACTTGGCCAATAGTACGATGACGGACAGGAACGGTGAAAGTGCTGGTGATAAGGTGGGTGAGATCCCAGATGACGTCCAAATCCCGAGTCTCACAAAAGCTACACCACAGAAACGGAAGAAGTGGAACGGCAACATAGTCAGTATGCCCTTCTAGAGATGACCACTAGAATGGCAGTATTACTGACACACAAACTCAGAAGCGGGTTGTGCGCGCGCGCACCAGGCCATGCATGCACTGCGATGGAGACCACTGGAATTCGGACTGCCCCACGCATGGAAACGAGCTTGGCAAGATGACAAGACCTTGCAAAGCCTGCGGAGAGTGGCATTGGGATGGATACTGCACTGACGAATAACATTTCCTTTGCCTAGTAGTGGTCCACCGACGTGGCGTGAGATGATCTCTCACGAGCGGAGGACAAAGACCTCGGCTTCATTCCACTTCACTTCAAATTCTGGATATTCACATCACGAGATCGAGCATCCTAACTCGATCAGGTAACCTGAAAGATGCAGGCGTTACATCACAAAGTCCATTGTGACTTTTACAAAGCCGGATTGTTGAACACGATACTTGTTTCTTTCAAGTCTTTATCTTCATCAAAGCCATTCAATAAGGACCATTCATCATCCCACATAGGCTTCTTTCACTCTGTTTTCCTTAACAATTAGAACGATTCTCTTTCTTCCCCCGTTCATATAAGATTCTTGTTCTCCCGCACTTTTTCGTTACAGTATTTCAGATCTCAATAAACTTTCCACTTCCGATTCTTTGATCGAATACTTTCAATTATACTTTCACTTATTACTTACATTTATATATCACTTTCACTAAACCAAACTTGAGATGGCTGGCCGTCAAAACAATAAAAACAGAAGAGGAGGAGGAGGAGGAGGAGGCGGGGGTGGACGTGGGGGAGGAAGCGACTCTGGATTCAGCTTCGATGGCAATGGCGGACAAAACCAGAATCAAAATCAAAACCGCAATCGGAATCGGAATCACGACCAGAACCAGAACCGGAACCAGAACCAAAATGGAAGCCAGAACCGAAACCAGAATCACAACCAAAATGGAAACCAGAACCAAGGCAATAACAACTACAAGGGAAAGAACAACAAAGCTTGCAATAACTGCGGAAAGCCAGGTCACTTAGCTGCTGACTGTCGAGCGCCCAAGCATAATAGCAACAACAATGGCAACACCAATGGTGGTGGCAATAAATGCTCAATATGTGGGAAAAGAAATCATACAGAAGACCAATGTCATTTCAGTAAGAACAGGGCGCAAGCTGTAAGTGGCGGCCCAACAGTCCCCTGCACTTTCTGCGGAGGCTGGCATCTACAGCAAGACTGTAATACCAGAGATGGGAAAGATAAACAGGGCAATCCACTCGTCTGCAAACAATGTCAGGGACCGCATTTCAACAACGCCTGTCCTTCAAAATCCGGACGCCCTATTTTTAACCCCAACGCGAACTTCAACCCCAATACCGCTGGTTATCCACCGAATAACAACAATGGTTGGAGTCAGCAGGGGACAGTCCACATACCGTGTGTGTTCTGTGGACAGAAGAATCATTTGCAGGACGATTGTCAGTTCCGATCTACCGTCGGTATGAATATGAATACTCAGGTCGACTTTTCACAACAGCAGCAGCCGCAACCAACGTGGAATCCAGCAGCACAGTTTCCTTACCAGCCGGCGATCCAGGAAGTTCGGCCCATTCTCGCAGCAAAATACTACGATGACCCCGATGTACCCACCGGCACTCATTACCCGCCTCCGTCCCAATATACGCCCATTCCAGGTTATTCGGACATCTCCACAAGAGGTCTACCGGGCCAATACAACTTAGGCCTGGGCGATCCGCCTAGGGAATATCATCGCCATGTGATGGTGGAGAGAGATGGTGATGTGATGATGGAGGATGTGGACGGTTGTTGTGATTGTGGGTTTAGTCCCGAGGAGCAGGTGAGAATCATCGAGAGGAGGGAGTTGCAAGAGCAGTGGTATCGTGTCTGTGCGATGGAGCAGATGCGCCAGAAGGCTGTTTCTGGGGGGTATCAGGGGGTTTGGCTTGGCAATATGGTCAGGTGAGGTAAGTGGGCTGGTCCCGGGGGTTTGTACCTTTTCCGTTTCCAAGCGTAAATGAATTCTATCGTTTTATTGTTTGAATACTTGTTCTTGGGAGGTGCGAAGTAATCAAGTGATCGTTGAGGTAAGTTCAATTTGGGTTGAAACCGTTTGTATTTCAAAGCGACGAGACTCTAAACTTAACACTGATTAATGCCGTAGCAATGCTGCTCTTCACGGACCCAGCATCATTATGCCTCGATATTGAATCAACCACGCCATTCGGTCTCGCGACTTGTATCTGTCGAAATCAGAGTATCTCAATACTCCCCGATCAACGTTTTCTGAGACACTTTCAGGCGTGAGAAATGAATCTGTGTTTGGTTGACCGTGAATCCAAATTTAACAACAACTCCAAGCACTTTCGTTCATTCATCACGGGACCAAATCCAGGTACATCTTTAGTACGATACTCAGGGGAAGTTCGGCTGTTTTTCTGGAATTTTGTAAATTGACCTTCTTCTCCAGCCTATCCAGCGCATCTTCTACCAGTCCCACATGGCCCCTCAATGTCCTCTCCTTCTCGTCATGTCTTGCTTCATTATCCTCGTAGTTTTCAGTCAGCTTTCTGTGGATGGAATATGTTGATCCGAGGACTGTGGAGACGGTGAGGGACGCGAAGAGGTGATGACCTCTTTACTGACTAAGCTACAGTACTCGAGTACACCAAGTCACATGACCTGAGATACAGCCGTTATCCCAACAGAATTGCTTCCGGTTATACTGATTGAACGGAAGCAGATTTTTGAATTATATAGCGGGGGATTATGTCGGAATATGTGTTTTCCAACTTATGAATCATGGCAATGGCCAATCTTCCATACCAGCCTTGACTTGCCTTTGGAAAAACGCTGGATATAACGTAAGAATAAAACATCCAGAGTTCAATTCTTTGGGGAGTCACAGCCACAGCATGCAAATAGAAATCAAACAAGTCAACTTTCGCCAATAAGTCAATCATGCTCTAGTTCCGGTGAAAAGAATATATTCTCACATCTTCACCATCCCCGTTCAACATTTGCGACAAGCCGATACACCGCATCCGTTCCACGGCCCGCAGCTTCACCCGCTGCCAACAACTTCTCCGAAAGAGATGACAGCCTCCGCAGTAGTATAGTTGGTGATGTCGCCCATAACAGTCTTAGCAGCAGGGGAGCTGGCAGCCTTCTGGAACCCCTCAAGGCTGTTGAAGTTCAAAACGCATAGAAGCTGATATGGCCCGTCAGTGGGCTTGCTGATCGTGTAACCCGTCAGCCCGAATTCACCCCATAGCTTCACAACCATGGGCATATGGGAGGTGAGATAATCTTGATTGCATATTAGCATAGCATTCTCCACATATCGAATCAGGTGACATTAGAGGGGTACAAACAGTCGAGGTTCAAGCTGGGACCAGCAGGGTACAGGACGGTAGCGGTGGCAGGCATGGTAGGAATTTGGTAGTATTTTGTTTGGTGGTTTGAATATTGTATAGCGATTTTGTGGTGTTGAGTTTGTTAAAAGGTGATGGATTTACGAGGAGCGGGGGAGGAGAGGGGTCTTGGAACCTCGGGTATATTTGTATTATCAACTCCCAGCTCCGCTTCTACATTGTTTAAGTACTTCTCCACAAAAGAGGCCGCCAATTATGAACCCTCAAACTCTTCCTTGGGCTTCTTTGGGTGGCGGCTTGTGGAGAAGGCTGTATAAACACCGTACCTCCGTAGGCGTTAAGGAAATCTGCCACTCCACTTCACATCACTAGGGTGCTTTGTCAGCTTTCATCCAATGAGAGCGCAGCACAGTACAAGTACTCTACAGCCTCTTGGCGTCGGTAGGAAAGGGGACTCCGTGCGGTCGAAAGCATTTGAGCCCCATTTTTTTCTACCGTGAGAATTTTCGGCGAAAGTTTAGTGATCTGCTGTGTCTAAATACTATTTCTATCCATTTGATTGGGAAAATAGGTTGTGCGCTGTTCAAAACGGATCATTTGAACCCAAAACGGGCCGCACGGAGTAGGTAGAACTATAAGGGAAAGGCGCCCCATAATTAGTAACGTCTTCCTCAATCAACCTCGCGCACAGTAATTTCTACTCTTGCTCAGAAGTCTTTCAAGGAGAATGATTGTTGATGTTGAGTTACAGGACCAATGGAGGCTTGGAATGTATCGACATGTTTGTTCTCCTAGTGCTTGAGGCTCTGGACGGAGGGAGCTATCATAATCATCTACAACTAATTGAACAACTGGTTCTATGTCCGCGCGCGCCCATTGCCCATTTTTCTCCGTCTCGAAGAAGTGGACAGCACTCTTCCTATCTTGCACAGCAAACTTTTGGTGCCTGGCTTTGATATTTGGATTTTATCGTGCTTGATCTAATCAGGCAATGCGAATTTCGTCAAAGCGACTTCGTGTGTAACATGCCCATATTACTCGCAGACAACATAAAGTACATAGCGCTATGATACTACAGTTTTAGACACATAGAACGTTAAAAGGAATTCATTCATCCATTCAACGCAGGTCCAGCATCTAGGCTTAAGTTTATTGCCACATAGGGATAAAACCTATGCCCGCGGATAATCAATACAGATTATAAGCGCCAGATTGAGCTCCGTCGAGACTCGAGTGTGATTTGGCTCTCTGCATGTATGTTCTAAGATGCTTCTGTGGTCAAAAGAGAGACCCTTTACATCTACCACTGGCTCGGCTGGGTAAGCTGGGTATTGCCGAGTGGCCGATCCGATGCAAAACCTTCGGCCCGATCCGTACACAATCTAAAATACATGAATCTTGATTTGGCCTCAAGAAATAGAGACTCTGGGCATTTGGAAGTTGACATGGAAACAACTTGTACCTGCATCATGGTTCTTATGCTGTTTCACAAACCCCCGGCGCCTATCGCGGTAAGCCTATCTCCTACCTAGCCTAGTATCATCCTTGAAGGGTTTTTGTCCTCAAATCTCCGTGACCGGTTGGATCTTGGATACTCTGTCGGATCTCTCCCACATTATTCATATGCCGGTTGCCTTGAACTGGCAGATTGGAAGTGCGTAATGGGTGTATGTATTCGGAAAATTAAGATACGGAGTACTTCGAAGTACTGGTGCGCAAGGTGTGAGTCCGGAAGCGAGGGCGATCATTGCCTTGGTGCAGGTTCTGAAACGTACCATTGGGAAGGGGTTATGGATTACCAAAGATCGCGCCTGTACGGCCAGATAATAGGGGAGGGGAGGGGGACTTGAGGATGAACGAAGTCGTGTTTGCCTTTGCGTGACCGTAGCACTTCGTCGGCGACGAGCTATTGGCGGTTCTTGCTCGTGAGGGCGCGCAGGATCCGGGAATTCGTCTCGCGATGCTACCTGACGAGTGATACAGTGTGAAACTACGCGAATAGAGGACCATTGGAATCTGGAAGCTTGGAATTGGTGGAACAGCTTTGCGAAGTGAGAGACATGTTGGCTGATTCATCAACGGCCTCCTCTGCACTTGTCGGACATGGCAGGGCACCGATTGGCCGGAAGAAGTCTCTCAAGTTACAGTACAGAGTAGGGCCCTTGCCGGCGGGGAGGCTACGGGATCGAATCCAAGACACAGACACAGACACAGACACAGACGAAGGCCCGAGAGCGCCTGGCAAAAGGGGCCACCAAACTAAATGTACCTAGGTACGTACTGCCACCACCATTCTCTACTTGTACCATGAATGCATGGCTTTGGGAGGGCTCGTGGCTTGCACGCCTTGGGCAAATTTTTCTCGGAAGCATTGGTCACACAGGATTCAGAGTGCAGGCGCCATCTTGTGTCTGCCATGATGATTATGATTTGGAGGTGCTAGGTGACGGATGGGGCTATAAAAAAGATGTGCTAGGTACAAGTATCCAACTTTAGTACTGTACTTTACACGTCAAGAACTACGGGGCAGACTAAGTTAATAGGGGGCAGCATGGGATAAGGATTGTCTGAGGCTGACCGTTGAAATAAATAAACGGCCGAGCTGGACTGAGACTGCAAGAGGAAAGGGACAAACATGAGTACAGACCAGCCATAATAGGATAAACCCGACGGGTCATTGGTTGGTTTGTAATGGTGAGGGACTGTATGATATGTGAATATCAATCAGCCTATACATGGAGTATAGGACAGTTCACAGTCTAAGAAGTACAAAGTCGCAAACATTCAATGGAACGCAACAATGTTGCCCCTTTATAGCACCTGTACGAGGTACCGGATAAACTGGATGGATAAGTTTGAAGTGATGAACTGCACTGTATGTAGATGTGGACAGCAAAGAGATTTTCTGCAAAGCCAAAACGGATTTGATTACTTCTTAAATGCTCTGGCAGGGTGACTTTTCATATCGGCTGTAGAATGCAGGGAACATATAACGTAATACAAGCAGATAAATAAATTAATAAACACTTCATCTAGAAGTAATTCATTCTTGCACGGAAGTCAAGGTTGTTGATCGCTAACGGCGTATGCGATGCCAGCTATTCCGAGAGCGCTAGTGGCTTAATTTTGTTTCTCAAAAGTGCTCCACCTCCACCTCCCTTTTCCTTCTTCACGTCGTCCGCCCACAGCAAAGCAAAGAGGGCCAGCACTTAATTCTTCAACGGACGGCTTCAGGTGTTCTTTGCTCTCCTTTCATTCCTTCCTATCCCCATCGTCGTCCTCAAGTCGTTCTCTGCTTGCTCATTGCTACCTCGACCTCGACCTCCTCGACCTTGCTGCCCGATCTTGGAGCTCCCTCTTACAAAGACAACACCTTGACCTCTACGTCCCCCTAGAGCTCGCTCTTGCATAAACGAAACATCTGTACAATATGGCTTCAAGCGTAACGCAGAGCCAACAAGGCAATCTCGATAGATATTGTGTTATCCATGTTGCTACGACCTGTGATGAGCATGGAGTCTATGTCACGAAGGATTCGGCAGAAGTCATTGAGCTTGGATGGATTTTGCTCGACGCAGCGAACTGCCAAGAAGTATGATTTGCCAACTTATTCTTTGAATTTACTTGAAACATAGCATGCTGACTGTTCTCTTTAGCTTTTCCGTGAAAGCGTTCTTGTCAAACCCATCAACACACCGATCACTCCTCTTTGCAGTAAGTGAATAATAAGATATCAAGCAGAGGCTTTTGGGCGGGGGCTTAGCTCCACGATTTAATCTTGATACCTTTCGAACATAAACAGGACCAACACTGACGTTTGTTCTGCTGCAGCTAGTTTGACTACACTTACGTGGGAACATGTTCGCAATGCTGGCACTTTCCGCGACGCAATCAACCGGTTCGATGCGTTTGCGTCCGAGCACCTCACCTCTCAGAACCTCGATTTCTCCTTTGTCACCCTCGACTCCTGGGACCTCCGAGTCCAGCTTCCTCGGGAAGCCCGTGACAAAGCTGTTGTGTTGCCGCCATACCTCCAACACTCCCGAACTTTCGATCTAAGAACCGAATATCAACGATGGCAGCAACACCACCCTGAATCCCTCCCGTTCGGACCTTCAATGCTCTCGAATATCTGTGCCGCCCTCGAAGTGGAGCCAGTACAAGCCAGTGCGCCGATTAAGCACAATCTTCCATTCCACCTGCAAGCTTTGGCACCGGCCTCACCTCGCCGTGCTATGGAAGAAGCAGTTACATTGGCAAGAGTCCTCAAGGGGCTTATTCACAAGTCGCAACCCCCGCATGAACACCCTGATGTTCTAACCAGACCAATGGATGCCCGTGCTGACGTACGAGCTTTCCTCTCAGAGCGTAGCAAAGTTCTTCACATGGCAGGCCTTCCTCATGATACTACCCAGTCTGAGCTGGAGAGCTGGTTCACGCAATTTGGTGGCCGACCAATTGCATTCTGGACTTTACGTACTCCTGACCAGCACAAACCTACCGGTTCTGGTTTCGCAGTGTTCTCGTCCCACGAAGAGGTTAGCCCATCATCCCTCATTCATCTTGATTTATTTTGCCAAGCATGTAATTGTCATCAAATTGTGATTTCAGCCCCCCATGAATTTGTTCTCCTACTTTACGAAAAATTGCTCAACTTAAACCCCACGCTCTCATCAAGTTTTTTCTGAACGGGGACATTGTCTAACACCTTTTCAGGCCGCTGAGAGTTTATGCATGAATGGTCGTGCACTAAACGAAAAAGCTATTGAAGTATCACCTTCCTCCAGCCGTGTTCTCGACCGCGCCGCAGAGATTCTTACACCATTCCCACCTAGCAAGAACCGACCTCGCCCTGGAGACTGGACCTGCCCATCATGCGGCTTCTCAAACTTCCAGCGTAGGACAGCATGCTTCCGCTGCTCTTTCCCTGCCATGAGCGCTGGCCCCAGCGGAGATTCAATGGGAGGTTACAGTGGAGGCTACGGCTATGGACCACCACCAATGATGCCTCAACAACAGCACATGGGTCATCATGGAGGTATGGGCGGTCACGGTGGTGGAAGAATGGGAGGCAGTGGTGGAGTGGTACCTTTCCGAGCCGGTGACTGGAAATGTGGATCTGAAGGCTGTGGGTATCACAATTTTGCCAAAAATGTCGCTTGCCTTCGATGTGGCGCTAGCCGTGCGGGTGCTGCCGTTGTGGCTGACTCTGGTTATCCATCCCCAATGGATCCTCCTTCAAACTACGGTATGGGTCCAGGATCAATGGCTGGCACGCCTGGCCCAGGTCCCTTTGCATCTGCTGCTAGTGGCTTTGGATCTGGTGGTGGGTACGGTGGTCAACACTTCGGCGGTCCTCCGAGCACATATGCTCTTCCATCTGGTCTCGGGGCTTCTACTGGCCCTTATCCTTCCTTGAACACCAACTTTGGTGGTCCTGCTGGGGGTTCTCATTCTGCAGGCCCGTTCGATAGCCGCGCCGCTGAAGCTGCTTTTCAATCTGCCAACAACGGCCCAGCTTCTGCCGGTGTGTCTAACCAGTTCTACCAGAACAACCAAGAGAGCGACCCCTTTGCCTTCCTTTCTTCCGGTCTTGGCAACTTGTCTGTGAGTGGCGATGCACGCCAAAATGGAGGGTCGGCGCCGCTCAACCCACCGAGCAAGTCTCCTCAGTAAACTTCTTATGGTTATTTCGCGCTATCTGTTCGCCTTTGATCACGGATTATACATACGTTTCGATTCTCTTCTACATGTGACACTATATTTCAGGACGGCTTTCGGGGTTGAAATGAAAGATAGACATCATATTGTTCCAGGGGCTGGAAATATTTCGCTGCGTTTATGAGGTCATTGTTTGGCATGCACGGACGGCGGCATAGAGAAAACGGATACGGAAAAGCACAAATCTACAATCACCTTTGCACTATGACAACGGAGAGAAATTGGCAGTAAGATGGATAGGATCGTTGCGGAGTTTTTTAATGCGGGATTGGACGGAAGGATAGGCTATATTTGGGTCATTGGTGAGCGATGGGCAAGACAGACACGAACCCGTATTTGATTCCCAATGCGCTGGATTAATGGCAACACAAAATCGTTTTCGTTTCTGGCTTGGTGCATAGCGACGGGAGCTGGGGTTTATTGTAGGGGTCTGGGGTGTCATCTGGTTGCTTCCTCCATTGGAAGCTACGTTCTCTGCGATTTCGAAATTGAGCGCATCTCCTCGATACAGCATGCCTGCGATCAACATTCCCAGCCTTCGAAAGACAATTTCCGTTGGCAGATCTGCACATCATCCCCAAGCAGAAACATCTCGATCTCGATATCAGTGAATCTGCTGGCTTTCTGGTGGATTGGATTGGATTGGATTGGTGTCTGGGCTGGGACCTGAGCAAGCATGGTTCTGATAGTTCTGCACTTCTTGTTTTGTATTTCACCTTCTCGTTGTCTCATATCTTCTATGTGCCTTTTGACATATTTCTTTGGACTGGAGGTCGTGGATTTGACATATTTGGATTTTGCGCGTACATGGGTGGACAGGATGGTAGGTGTTAGTAGATGGATGGACATGTGATGAAAAGATGATGATGGAGTGGGGAGTGGCAGCTTTTTTCTTCTCTTTTCGATGTAGTCAATTTCTTCGTTTTCATTTCTGAACGTTGGTGGGGCGTGGAGTGTTGGTAGTTGTGGCCGGGGGGCTTGTAGTAGATAGATGAATGTGGGCCATTTGGCTTCACAATACATAAAAGTGTCCAAACTAATGACTTTGATACAAGCTATTCAATTGAATTACCTGTGCTGCATCTGTATCTCATGTCAACTACCGTATACACAAACACAATGCTTTGCCTCGGGGTAAATCTCCCGAGTAATGTATTCCAGCTATTAAGGATGTCTACACAAGATTACCTTTACACATTCTTACTGTTTTAGTAATTTATCCTCCTCGATATCAACCTCTATCAAGGACTCTAATCCTCGCTCTCATAAAATCGACCCTGCTCTTTCAAACCCAGCAACAAGAACCCCCTCACCAACCCATAAACCCACAAACACCACTCTCCCCCCTCTATTTTCATCTGCTCGACACCAGACAGCCACCGTATCCCCTCTGCCTCGCGAACCTCACTTTCCTCATCATCATCAGCTTTCCCGCAAAAGGAAGGAAGAATGAATGATGTGATATGATATAGTTCTTGCTCCCTAAGTCGCCCCAGTCATGTATGTGTAGGTGTAGGTGTTGGAAAGGGCAGCGAATGATGTCGTGGTAGCTGGTAATGTGAGAGTGTAGGGACCGGGTTCGGGACCGGGTCCTTGGAGTTGGGTGTAGTAGAGGATGGGGATGGGAACTCGTTACTGACGCTGAACACGAGGTAGCTATAAGGGTAAGTGAGGTAGTCGGGGTTTCCGTGTTAGGTGGGTTTTAAGGGGTAAGTACTATGGGTTTTCGTCTCCATCCACATACAGCCTTGTTAATGCGAATTCTCCCAGCACCGCAATTTCACTTGTAATACTGGGACTTGACATTTTGCCAAAAACTCGCATTACATGTACCGAAAAAGCTCCCTAGAATCAAGATTTTAGAATAAAGGCGCCCCCAAATATTTCCTCTTGTCTACTAAACCAAATACCCCCCTCCCTCACATATTCAGACATCCAATCCCCACAGGCCCAGCCTTCAGCGCCCACCTATCATCGTAATAGTGGAAGACCCCGGACTCATTCTCCACAATCGCCTTTGTCACAAGCGCAGAATCCAGATACGCTCTCGCCTCGACGATGATCCCGCTGGTGTCCCAGCGCGTGACCCAGGAATATGTATTGTTGAACACGAGACCTATTCATATGAAATGAAACCTCTATAAGCATATGTATGCGACTGACCCTCCTTCTCAACAAGAGTAAGAGTAAGAGTAGGAAATAAGAAATGAATATAAATTCAGATTGTCATGTTTATAGAAGAGAGGGAAAAGGAGTTAGAATAACATAATGTAATCATGCATACGTACCATTCTTCAAAACCCCATCGATAGTAAGTTCCTCCACACTCCACTCCTCGTCCCCACCGCCCACCACATGAACCAAACGCACCACCAGCGGCTCCGCAGCACTCGCCTTGTTATCCAGACGGGCCAGGGCGTCGGTGGCGAAGACGGTGCTGTTGTGGTATGTGCCTGCCAGGGGGTGCGTCCCCATGATCGTCCAGGTTACATTGGGGGCGACGTAGTTGAGGAAGGCGGTGCTGCCGGATGTGAGCGTGGAGAAGACGGAGGCGATATAGGGTTTGGAGGGGTAGGGTGTGGTGTAAGAGGGGGGTGTGGTTGTGGTGGTGGTGGTGGTGGTGAGTGTTGCTAGGAGGGTGATGAAAAGTAGGGGGGTGGGGGTACGGAGACGCATGCTGGTGTTTGGGTAGCAGATTAAACTGGTGTATGTAAGTGTGTGTATGTTGTGGATTTCAATACAGAAAGATATAGCATAGAAACATTGTGTTTTAAAGGAAGTAATTATTTCTTATATAGAAGCAAAGCAGTAGGCAAATATCGGACTATACAATCGTCATCCCCCGCTCTTGACATGATGGGGTTGATTCAACTCGCCGTGAATGCCTGATTAGGTTCAGCAGCGAGTAAGAACTTTCGGGCCGTATGCGCACCGCTATTAAGGAAGTGGTATTATTTTGAACCGATAGCATGACAATTAACCCTGCCTCTTTACCGAGACCGCTCCGTGGGGACGGTTATGTAGACGAGTCGTACGGAACGGAGTTAGGACATGGCAAAACAAAACACGAAAGCTTATTATCAACAGAAAAAAAGAGTTTATAAGTTTTTAAACGTGGATGTTTGTAGTGAAGCCTTCGTTCGACACATAGGATGTAATCGGATTGCTAGTGAATGCACAAAATTGACTGTTTAGTGAATAAGGATATATAGGTACTCATGCGACGATATCTGGAGACTCTTTAGAAGAATTGCGGTCTTGAAAGAAAGTGAAAATCTTCGTGAATAATTGCAAGGGCTTAGACACGGCGACTCTTGCGATATATGAGTTGGCTCCCTCTCAACTCTGCGGTAGCCACCACATCTATCTACTTTACGGACCGAACTACTCAACTGCGGTGTTCATTCTCTCAGTAATAAAATCATATTGAATTGATCAAGTAGCCGTTGCACATGTATAGCTTGATGGAACTTCAAAATGCCATTGGTTTGAAAAGGGGATTTGGGGACAGCGGCGGACAGCCAAGCCTATCTGCTGGAGTTTGTGGCTCGGCAGGAAGTGTGATACATGAGAGAAGTACACGGTTTATAAGCTCTAGGAATGACCTGAGAGCAATTGAAGACATCCACCAATCTGTAGAGAGGTTCCAAGACGGACAAGGCTGTATCACAAATTCACCTGCCTTCACTTGAGGCTGTGGAGAGATTTCAGCAAATAAAGAGAAGGATGGAAGTACTACTTCCAAAATAAAGGTATTCAATACTCCCATATCAGACCGCATGGATCATCACACATCACTTAATACTCATGTTTCATCCCTCATAACTCATTAAAACCACCCCCTTTCTAAACCTCACTCCCCACCGTCCTAACTGGATACTTCAATGCACCCTTCGCTTTCGCACAATTCCCTACACTTCCCCCATTAATACTCGCATTAATTGGAACCCCATGTCTCGCCTGCACCCTCCCCAAAACATGGTGATAATACCACACCTCACTCAAAACCGTACCGCCATTATCCAGCGTCCCATTACCCGCAGCCGTAGCATTATATTTCGGCCCCGAACAAGCAATATACGGCAGCGCGCCAAATCCCTTTACCAAAGCGCTCTGGAAATCGATCAAAGAATAAGTCGTGGAGTTCGAAGGATAGATGCCCTGAGCACCGAGCCAAGTCCACGTAGGCAACGTCTCGTAGTAGGAGATGGCGGTCTCGAAGAAATCAATCACTTCTTCGTGTTTGCGATACATGGGTCCGTAACATGGAAGGTTGAATGTACTGTAGCATGTACCGTGTTTGCTGAACTCGTGGCCCCAGAAATCACCATTTGGTTGTGCCTGCGCTATCCAGAATTTGTTCATGTATGCGAGGAGGTCGAATTTGCCGAAGGGCGCGAGAAATGTGGAGATGCTGCTGCCGTTGTAGGGTTTTATGGGAGTTCCGGAAGGAGTGCCGGTTGTGGTGTTCGGCGAGGGGAGGGGATCATATTGTCGGCTTTTTGGGCGTTAGTATAAGTATGGGAATGAGGGGGGAGGGAAAAATGCAAACCTTAGATCACAGTATTGTGTATAGGATCCATTGCAGAAATCAGGCCACAGACCGTGTAACGACCATGAGTCCTTTGGGAGAACTTGTCCTTGCGATTCGAGTCCTGTGTAGGTATTCCAGAGCTGCGTGCTGAGAACAAGCCCGCCATATGTTTCGGTACAGCACGAATCGGTGATGTTTGGGTACGCATTTGCGGAACAGGATAGGAAGGGGGTCTCTGGATATAATTATCAGATCAGTTCCCTGTCTGTATTTCATAGGGAGACATACGCAATGCGCACGTATGGTTAAAATTGCTCTGTCCGGGGTACAACGATGCTTGAGAAACGCCGACTAGCATTGAGCTGACGGCTGTAGCAGCGAGGAGTTGCATCTTTGATTCAAATATTAAGAGAATTAAGACAATGCCAACTGAATACTGAAGGAATCGCACTATGCGAAAGGCAGAGAGAAAATGGCATGGAGAATTGGCAATATATAGCTTCCCCATATTGTTATCAGAAGCTCTGAAGTGGGAGCTTGAAAGGGCAGTTACCAAACTTACGGGTCTTTGCGCTGTGCAAATCTCATATCCCTGGGGTACATTGTCCACTCGTAACCATGTATGTAGGCCCACGAACCATTGATTTAAAGCACGTTCTGAGAAGTTGGTTCTTGATGGGAAAGGTTGGATTTCGAAATCTAAGCTGCAAGAGGAAGGTTGACATGTTAGCTAGCGCGGCACGTGGGCGGGGTCCATTTGGAAACGAGGGTAGAGATGACGGAAAGGTCCCGAGAAGAGGCTTAAATGTGATATTGCTATTGCTATTGCATTATGTTTTATTTTATTTTCTTATTGCATTTCCTTTTATGTACTCTGAAGAGTGGTGTCTCAGCTGGAACATGTATTTACAGATCCTCAAAACGCCTGTAGCCCATTCCATTAATCATATATGGGGTGATTTGAGCCAACTCTTCTGGTACTCGTAAGTGCAAGAGTGCTCTGCTCTGCTTAGATAAGTCTGGAGACCAGCTAATATAATTTCCTGTCGAAAATCATGCCGCTTGGGGCCAAGCGATAAGAATCTGCTGAACCTATATACTCCGTTGCAGGAACAACTCCATCTGCATTGAACATACACCGTAGAACATCAACTATGGCTCATCCTCTACCGAACCGTCTGTCAAATAGCTTTAACACCCCCATAACACTGGCCGCCTCAACTTCTATCGGTTCTCTTCCCTCGTGACGAGGCGGCGTAGCATGTAATCTCCCAAGCCATGTACCCAACTCATCACTCGCCTGCTCAAAGCCCTTGTGTGTAGAGAGTGTCTTGTAAGTGTCGGCAACTGACAAGCTTGGTGGAGGGTGAGACGTTGCGGTCGCTGGAACAGACTTGCAACATCCTCCACCAGCAGCATTTCCACCACAGCAGCCTTCAGGGGACGCTGAATTAGGCGTGGTAGATCCACGCATAGCAGTAAGTGAACGACAGAACATTGCAGACTTGGGGTCTAATTGACATTGCTGGCAATTACCTGGACCGCTGGCACAAGAGTTGGACGGTGCTTGAGTGGCAACTGGTCGATGCATATGGTTGGGATGCATCGATGGTAACTTGATCATAATCCCCTCAACATCGGTGTCTGATGGAGGTGGCGTGACTTCATTGAGTAGAGGAGCTAGCCGATTTTCATGGTTTTGTTCGTTGGAAGCATTCGCGGCGGCTTCCTCGGCACAGACGCAATATGTACCCTCTTCACAGAATCCACATGACTCTATTGGTGGCCGCGATATTTGAAGACGGGACTCCTGAATTGGCTGACGTGCAACTGGCTTTGAAGAGAACTGTGCAGTGAAGTCGACCTCGAGTGGAGTAGATGGAGCAGATTGCCGTCGACGTTTCTCGGCTTGCTCTTCAGCTGATGGCGAGTGTGCTCTTTTGAGTTCCGACGAGGCCGAAGCTCCAGTATTTGGCCTGAGAGTCTCTTCCAAACACTCGCAATGAGTGTCAGCCGAACACTTCCCACACCCAGAGGCAGCAATAGCCATAGCCTCATCAACACACGCACAATTACTTGAAGACGTGCAGCCACCACATCCAACAGGTGTCGACTCAATATCAAGAGCAGGTGAAGCAAACCGTTGTGGCTCGGGATTCTTTTGAACATTTCGTCGATTGCGCCGTGGCGGAAGAGGAACAGCGTCTGTGCCTGTATTTCTTGACCCGTTCCGAAGATAAGACAGCTCAGCGAGGGCAGCCTCCTTCTCCTTCCTCTCATAGTCCGCAATGCGATCAAGCGTATCGCAGCGAACTTTCCACGAGTGAAGCTCGCCTGTGAACCTCTCCAAATCCGCCTCAAGTCGTATGATCTTATTCCTCATCTCCCCTTCGCGCTTTTGCTGTTCCTCTTTGGTCTCCTCTAGCTGTTCTTCCAACTCCCCAACCCTAGCAGCACGTCTCTCCCTAAAGGCACGTTGTGCAGCTCTGTTCTGTGCCTTCCGCTTGGTTGGAGGGGTATCAGTAGCGGGCTTGCGACCAGGCTTTGGTCGTGGCGGGATGATCCATTCTTTCCTGGTAATCATAGAGGGTGTCGCAAGACCAGAAGCTGGAGATAGAGCCGTCATATTGGAAATGTTTACGGTCTTGATTGCGAGGGTGGGAGGTGCTGGAGCAATGGCGGGCGGAGAGCCTGCAGACGAGGGTGTTGACACTGCAGGTGAGGCCATCTTCGCCAAGAGGCAAATGAACCTAGGTACCGAGGACGAGGGGTTGAAAGGTAGAAAACACGTTATGTACGTGAGAAAGGATTAAATCCAACGCATCAATGGTCGATTGTCAATTATCGACAGGATAAAAGGACAGGGCGAAACAGTACTTGGCGGTGCAGTCAGCGGCCGTTGATAAGTTGAATGTGTAGATGTGGATGAGGTTGTAGATTTGATCTTGGGTTATCTGATCGAGAGATAATGCAGGCGGTGGACCCTTCCCTAGCCTCTCCTCCCCGCTACAAATTTTCACCATGAGCCGAGTTCGGACCATAGCTACCCTAAGGTACGTACTTCACGTCATTCATCCAATCACGGCACAAGCAGCCTCCGCCAAAGAGGAAATAGAGAGTCGTACGACTTGGCATGAGCACGTTTCCGCTTTCCGAGCGCCAGATCGGACATTACAGACACACAGCTGCACGTGACGAGAGAGAAGAAAGGAACAATTGAAGGAGCATCGGATGGGCCAGGACAGAGAAGAAAGAGAGAAAGAAAGAGAGAAAGAAAGACAGAAAGAAAGATAGAAAGAAAGAATCCCAGTGTCTAATCCAACATGAGCAAATTCTATTTCGGAGGAGGTTCAGGCGACGTCTCCTCAGACGACGAAGATAACCTCCCATACCCCGAGGCACTACCACGCAGCGACTTCCTTGCTCCAGACTTCGACGCGCCTGCATATCTGTCTACACTCTCGGAGCGCCACCAGACCCTGGAAGATCTTCGGTCTGACCTGAGAGAAAGATCTCAAGCACTTTCAAAGGAGTTGTTGGATCTTGTCAACACCAATTATGAGCAGTTTTTGAGTCTAGGCTCTGATTTGAAGGGCGGGGAAGAGAAGGTTGAGGATGTGAGGGTGGGGTTATTAGGTTTTAAGCGGGGTGTGGAGGATGTGAGGGGCAAGGTTAGAGAGAGGAAAGTTGAGGTGGAAGGATTGTTAGGAGAGAAGAAGGATGTGAGCAAGCAGATTGCGTTGGGTCGGAGGCTATTGGAGGTCGATGCACGACTTGAGGAGCTTGAAGACAGACTTATGGTCTCCTCTCTCGGCCGAGCTGTCAATGGAGGGGATGAGGACTCTTGGACCGACAGCGAGGATGAGGAGGACGACGATGATGAGCTTGGAGTTGAGACTGGCGTCGCAGGAACTAGCACAAGAAAGCTTCAACGACTCGTTACAGATTGTCTCCACGTTGAGCGTTTGTCAAATAGTGTGGGGAAAGAGCACCCATTCATTTCAGCTCAGCAGTCTCGGATGCTTCGAGTCAGAAACACCATTCTGCTTGACCTGAGCACGACGCTGAAGCAGACTACCTCCACAGGTGAAGAAGGGAAGTCAAGACTCCTCAAGATACTTGGAATCTACAGAGATTTTGGGGCGGAAGAAGAGGCGATCAAGGTACTAAAAGGGATGAAATCACGATAGACAATAGGCATTGTAGCATAGCGTTGGAGTTGAAGGCATATACCAGGGACATCAATATGGAATATCTTACATCTATTATCTACAGCTGTACATTATGGCCCAGACAACTCTTTTGAAGTAACTGAAGTATGCGTCCCCTTGAAAGCTCCATTTAGAGGCAAGCCCGGTCCGTTCGTTGAGCTCAACACCACTTCCACCAACTCCTTGTTGATTTTGTCACTGATACGTGACAAATCCTTCTTCACAGCCTCGATGAAAGCCTTCAAATTGCTCGACATCTCCTCCGGAGTGAACGCCAACTGTCCAATTGCCATCCGAACCACACCCATCCTCTCCCTATACTCCGTAGCTCCCACCATATCTTTCATTGTCTTGACTGGATCCACAACAACCGTACCCAACTTGCTACTCGGCATCATTCCTCGAGGACCCAACACCCTTCCAATTCCAGACTTGTTCATCTTGGCCAACGAGTCCGTCTGACAGAGACATCGATCGAACTCAATCTTTCCAGCCTTGACAGCATCAAAGACATCATCCTCTCCAACCAACACAGCGCCTGCGGCCCTCGCTGCCTCTGCATATGCTGAGTCTGGCGGACAAATAACGCATACTCTGAAGTCCGTCTTGACTGGATGGGGAAGCCGTAATCGATTTCGTACGACTGGCCCGTTCTTTTGGGATTTGAGTTTCAAAGCCAACTCGTACTTTACAGAAGTTGGTTTCTGGCCTACCTCCCAAGCTCGTATAATGCTACAACACATCAGTACAGTCCTACCACTTCGTAGACGTGAGTTCCTACCGCATAGCATCCAGCAATGGGAACGTCTCCTCCTTGCTCAAATCATACTGTTTATAGGTCGTCCTCGCCTTCTTCTTCTTCACAACCGCCTTCTTTATATACTTATTTGTACTCGGAGGCAAGACCTTTTCTTTCTTGGAGACGATTGGAGGCGTGTACTTCCCGCGCGCAGCATTTGCCGTTGATGTGCTGAAAAGTCTGATAGGGAGGGCAGTTGGCGTTGATCGGGTGAGCTGTAAGCATGTTCTGCTTAAATGACCCAGACATGGCCTTGCGGTAGCCATTGTGATGTTGAGAAGCTGCTCATCCGAGATCCAAGACGTAGAATAATTAATGCTTCAGCTCCTTTCAATCGAGACAGACGCAGACTAGCGCTAGCGCCTCGGAGCGGAAGAAGTGTTCGGAGCTGGTGAACCAGCGAGTTGACTCAAAGCAAAACCCCCACCAAAATATCGGAACACCCCTCTTCAAATTCAGTTCCTCACAACATACGAAACAATGAAGACCGAAGAGCTGTCGCAACTTGCGGCGGGTCTCGCAGCCCCAGATTTCAAAGCCATTGAGCCACATCTCATTGCCTTGGACAAGCATCTCACTTTGAGAACCTATATTGAAGGATACACCATTGGCGAGGCTGATACGAAAATCTGGGTCACAATTCGAAGCAACAAGGTTGCAAATGCTTTCCTGAAGAAAGGAGCTCTTGTTAACCTGGGAAGATGGTTTACTTATATCGAGCAAACCCATCCGGAAATACAAGAGGAAATCAAGGTGAAGGATGAGGCCGAAAGGGCGAGGAAGGCGGCGTTGAGCAAAGCTGGGGCGAGTTACAATATGGCTTTGCAGGATACTGAGAAGGGAGTTGTTACTAGGTTTCCCCCGGAGCCATCGTAAGTTGTTCAAACTTCATTGAGTTGAATGAGCGCTAATTTGAGTAAGTGGATATCTACATATTGGTCACGCCAAAGCTGCACTTCTTAACGATTACTTCGCACACGAACTCTACAAGGGCACCCTACTCCTCCGATTCGACGATACAAACCCTTCGAAAGAGAAGCAGGAATTCCAAGATGCTATTGTTGAGGATCTTGCTCTCATGGGTATCAAGCCAGACAAGACAAGCTATACTAGCGACCACCTCGAAGTTCTATACCAATACTGCATTCGTATGATCAAGGAAGGTCATGCCTATGCAGACGATACAAACCAGGAGACTATGAAATCTGAGAGAATGGATGGTATTGCTAGCAAGAACCGAGACAAGTCGGTTGAGCAAAATCTTGCCATTTTGGAGGAGATGAAGGCAGGAACAGAGGTCGGACTAAAGAACTGCATTCGTGCAAAAATGTCCGTGGACAACCCCAACAAGGCTATGCGTGATCCTGTTATCTATCGTTGCAACCTCATTCCTCATCACCGGACTGGCGATACCTGGAAGATGTACCCTACGTACGATTTTGCCTGCCCAATTGTCGACTCTCTCGAGGGTGTCACGCATGCCCTGAGAACAACCGAATACACAGATCGCAATCCTCAATACCAATGGTTCCTCGATACCCTGAAGCTGCGCCAGGTCCATATGTGGGATTTTGCAAGAATGAACTTCATCCGGACCGAACTGTCAAAACGGAAATTGACCAAGCTGGTAGACGCTGGAACCGTTTGGGGATGGGATGACCCTCGAATGCCTACCATTCGTGGTGTCCGAAGACGAGGCATGACCATTCCCGCGCTTCGAGATTTCATCCTCAAGCAAGGACCTAGTCGAAACATCGTTGTAATGGACTGGACCAATTTCTGGGCTTCCAACAAGAAAGAAATCGACCCGATCGCACCCCGCCACACGTCAGTCGACGCTATCAACGCTGTCAAAGCAACTGTTCTCAACGGGCCAGAGAAGCCATACACCGAAGATAAGCCTAAACACAACAAAAACCCGGCTGTGGGAACCAAGAAAGTTGCATACAGCAAAAACCTCCTCTTTGATCAAGAAGATGCTAAGCTCTTCAAGCAAGACGAGGAAATTACCCTTATGAACTGGGGTAATGCCTATGTCCGTAAAATTGTCGGCTCCGACCCAGTCACCGCTCTCGAGCTCGAACTGCATCTTGAAGGTGATGTTAAAAAGACCGAGAAGAAAGTCACCTGGCTATCCGAGGACCAGGATCTCGTCAAGGCTGAAGTCTACGAGTTCGACTACCTGATGACGAAGGACAAGCTTGAGGAGGGCGACAACTGGGAGGATTTCGTCAATCCGAATAGCAGTAGCAAGATCGAGGCGCTGGTGGATGCAAATGCCCCAGATTTGAAGGCGGATGATATTATTCAGTTGGAGCGGAAGGGGTATTATAGGGTTGATAAAGCGGCCGAGGGAGGGAAGGGGTTGGTCTTATTTGGAATTCCTACAGGGAAGACGAAGTAAGTCATGTTTTGAGAGATAAAAGTTGTATGTTGTGTGATTTGCGCTCAATGAGCTTAGATGCTAGCATGAACGAAGTGATGATACATGATTGCCTTCTTCCTCTTATACTGCAGTCCCTGAAATAGTTTATTTCGCTCCCATCCGAATGCTCCCAAAACTCCATCCTATTCATTCATTCCTCCCAATCATACACACATATCCATAGTTCCTCCCTATTCTTCCGACACATACCACACTATGCCATACCATACACCCCCACCAATCCACCTCATTCATATCAACCCCTTCCTAGCTAGCTCAATCTTCCTCCCCGCCTCCCCCTCCTTAAAACCCCCCTTACTAACACACACAGCGCGCCCCTCGCCCAACTCAAACTTCTCCTCCACCGCTGGGTGCGGACATGGGCAATGGTGCGGGAAGTGCACGCAGGCGAGCGTGTCTGGGCATAGGTAGTTGGTGCAGCGTGCCGCGTCGTAGTTTTGCTGGTACCAGGCGGAGTCGGAGGGCACGTTTTGGGGGTCTTGACGGTGTTGCGCTTGGTTTTGCTGGAGGGAAGGTATTAGTGATTGCTTGATTGATTGGTTTGGGAGGGAAGGGGGAAAGAGATAGAATGGGGAAAGTACTTGGCCGTTGTTGAACATGTTGAAGAAATCGAATTGTGCGGAGACGGAGGAGATGAGGAGGAGGGTAGCTAGGAGGGGGAGCATGGTGATGCGTGCCATGTTTCTAGATTTTGTCTGGTTTGTGTGTAAATTCCTGGTGTTGGAATTGACGATTGAAGTGAAGTGAATGGAATGAAACTCAAAGCTTCAAAGACTTGTTACGTTTTACCAGAATTCCCAAGGGATTATTGTTGAAAACAATCGAATTGATGTCCTAGAAGAAGGCCAGCTATCACTACCCATTTCCTGCTTACTAAGCCGAACCTCTACCCCTGCACGGCGATTTATACTTTTTATCTAGAGCTCATGCTCCAACGACATCTCTCTGCGGAGCAAACACCATGCTGCTCCCACGATTACAGCCGCCGTTACGGGCAGCACTCACCTCAATCGCTCGGTCCGGTCAATCTTCAAGTCTCAACGATGCTTTTGCGCAACTCGCGATCAGAAGCCCGGTGTTGACGTTTGTGAGGCATGCATCGCACGCCCAGCAAGGAGCTGTGAATAAGGCCAAAGATGGACCGGGAAAGAGACTCGGTGCCAAGAAATCTGGAGGTTCGTTTTCTCTGTCTTGCTATTCTAATCTACTCCACTCTATTCCACGTCCACTCCAAGCATCAATTGAAAATGTCGAAGAGGAACAAACAGCTGAGGTGATTGTGATGGATAAATAGAACAATATGTCATTCCTGGCAACATCATCTTCCGCCAACGCGGCACACACTGGTTCCCCGGCGAGAATTGCGCCATGGGCCGCGACCACACCATCTACGCGACGGAATCGGGATACGTCAAGTACTACAAGGACCCCGAGACGCACCCCAAGCGCCAGTACATTGGCGTGGTGTTTGAGCGGGCCCAGGTCCTGCCGTTGCCGCGGAATAGCATGAGGAGGCGGAGGTTGAACATGGTGGCTGAGCAGATGGAGACGCCGCCCAAGGTGGAGGTGAAGCTCAGGACTGATTTGGCCGGGGGTGTGGACGCCGATGGGAGTAAGAAGGGTGTTGTTAGTGTGAAGCAGGGCTCTGGGAAGGAGAGGAGGGGCGAGGAGGGGAGGGTTTTGACACTCAGGCCTGGATATATGTATCGGGAGGCTAATTGGGAGATTGGGAGGGCGGCTGAGAGGGCCAAGGTTAAGGTTA